TTCAGGTCTTCACCAGCCACATAATATTGAACATGAGAATTGTCTCCTGAATCCATTAGCCTTCCTCAATGAAAGGGAACTTTCAGACAACTCAAATGCCAAAAATATTCTCAGAAACGGAGTCAAAAGCATTCTCCCTAAACGAGAAACTCTCTGTTTAGCATCTCCCCCTCCAAGGCTTACACGTCTCAAGCACTCATTTTGCAAAACCTCTAATAGTACAGTAATGACCTTTAATAAGACCACACCTCTGAGGCCCATCACACACAAGCACCTTGAGAATGCGTTGGGTTTTATGAAATACAGCCAAGTCTCCATGGCCTGTCATTTCAGTATGCATTAAAGGAGAAAGATAGGCCAAAGGCCTCTTAATTTTGTGTCTAGACACAATCTTTCTGTAGACTTAACTCCTCCTGCTGATGCAGTTTGCCACACTGGAGAACAGTCTGGATTGGAGGACCCTGGAAAAGCCAAGTTCCGGGCTTCTCTTTGTCAACTCCTGTCTCCTCTAGGATGTCAGGAGATGAAGGATCTGCCAAGGCTAGTCACTTGTCATTGAACAGTACAGGATCGGAAGGAAGCAAATGACCTTTTAAGCGGAGTAAAACTTGGAAGGCATAGTCTTATCTCTCACCTGCACAGGCTTCAGGGTTAAGAACCTGAGCCATAAATTGAAGCGGTCTGGATCAGAACCCTGTTTCTATCATTTGCTACCAGCTTAATTGTGGAAGGTTGACTTAGTAATCTTCCTGTTCCCCGTCAGTAAGATGGCCATAAAAATAATAGCATTTAAGTCACAGACTCTGAGGGATGAGATTTTTACTGGATACGAAACAGGCGAGCACTGTCTTGACTCTAATATCTGATATATATGTGCACCATTTATTATTAATTTTAGCTCAGAAATCAGAATAACTGACATAGGATAGAATGTTCAATTTACGTTGGCTATAAGTGACTATGTGTCTAAACACTTTATAAATATTACAATGTTATGTGAATATAAGCTGCTTTTAGCCTATATAGAATAAGTTTAGACAGTTCGAACAAGACAACAATGTATTTAACGGGGGGGGGGGGGATACCAGTTTCACCAAACTGCATCTTGATAAGGTAGGCCAACAAGTTCGGTCGAAGTTTTGATGGCTACCCCTGGTGGCTCATACCTGTTATCCCGGCATATGGAAGGCCGAAAGGCAGATAAACCTTTTCCTCAAAAATCAAACCCGTACTATTCACCTGTGACACCACACAATGTGGCGTAAGGTATTTAAAGGTTATCACCACCATAGGCCTGTCTATTCACGACTCTTCACTTCCATTGGAAGACCAGATTTAATACAGTGGTCAACCAACCAGACAATGACATAGAAGATGCCCACATGAAAATATCAAATCTTTATTTAAAAAAAAAAAAAGGTTTCTCACAAGGAAATTTCTTTTTTGGTTAACAGTTTGTGGTTTGTTGTAATCAGAGCTTCTAGGAAACTGGCTCTGAATGGCCTTCCTGTCTTTTCCTTCTATTTATTTCCCTGGCCCTGGTGCAGTCACTAATGTCAAAAAAATAGGTAGTAGAGCCGGGCGGTGGAGGCGCACACCCTTAATCCCAGCTCTCGGGAAGCAGAGGCAGGCGGATCTCTGTGAGTTGGAGGGCAGCCTGGTCTGCAGAGCTAGCTCCAGGGCAGGCTCCAAAGCTACAGAGAAACCCTGTCTCGAAAAAATAAATAAATAAATAAATCCAAGGTAGCAGAATAAATAGGAAAAACAAGCTCGTCTAGTAATGGAAAATAGCTCAGGAATAGCCAAAAGATAGAACAAAATTTTCAAAGTTTTACAGCTGTTGAGTGTAAAGAATCGTAAAGGTAATTTCACTACCTGCAAAATAAAGGAATCAAAATACCTTCCAATTTCACTTGATTCTTTAAGAACATCCAAAACTGCCACTTCTGTGCCTAATCAAGATTTGTCACTAAAATAACCATAGGAATGATTACATTATGTAACTTTCAGTAATTTTTCAACAAAGACCTTGACAGCGAAGGATGTTTACTAATTCTGGATTTCTTTGAAGACAGGTTATCTTCATAATCTTTAAATTGCAAATGAATTAACAGTATTTGATCAGAGCGATGGAAGCCATGCGCTTGGTCTAGGATGAACGCTTCATTAATTTTTCAGTGTGATGATGCTGCAGTTTTCCAAGAGCAACCGTCAAGAGTTCTTGCGATGCATCCAATCAGCCGAATTACATCAAATATCCATGTCACCGTCCCTAACCACAACACAATCACGTAACCAGGATTTCAAAACTCAACCCTAGGCGTCTGTGATGTCACTGTCACCATCCACCGCGCTTAACCTCAGGTGGTTTCTCCCCGTCGCCCACCTAACCCTCAGTCTAGCCGACGTTGTTTGCCTCTCCAGACCTCCCGCGGGTGACGGTGTCCCCCCAATACACTCTCCACGACCACACCTGGGAGATCAGGTGCACACTGCGGGGACCCGAGTGGGCACGGGCCCCGCGCTGTCACCCCGACGCTTTGTCTGCGGCTCCAGGCCGGCGCGGCGGGCGCTGGGTACAGACACCTCGGGCCGACCTGCTGGGCGGCAGCGGCGGCGGCGACTCCCGGGGACCCGAAGGCCGCCCGGGAGGCGACCGTGCAGAGAGCGGCGCCCGGCCCGCGGGGTTGGGCGGAGGGTGAGGGGCGGCCACCGCGGTTCCCAGAGTTGTCGCGACGCACGGGCCCGGGTCAGGCTGCGGGGGAACCCGCTCTCCTCCGCTCGCCCTCCCACCCTCCCGCAGCTCACCTGACAGCCACGCGCACAGAGCTCTCGTCCGCGACGCCCAACATGCCTGCTGCCACCCGGGTCTCAGCACGGTGCCGAGCGCTCCGGGCAGGCTGCTACTGCTGCTGCTGCTGCTGCTGCTGCTGCTGCTGCGGTGGCGGCGGCGGTGGCGGTGGGGAGGACTCAGCGCTGCGCTCCAGCCATGTTGGGCGACTGAATGGAAAGGTGGCGGCGCCCAGGCGCGGGAGGGGGCGGTGACTGGAGACGGCGCCGCCCCTTGCCCCCACTCGCCCGGCTCCGCTCTGCCCTGCGTCAGCCGCGGCTGGTCCGGTGTGCCCCGCCCCGGCCACACGGCCAGGCGCGGCCCCGCGCGGAGACAAATCCCCCCTCTTTCCCGGGAGGCTCGCTGCGCGTCCCCGCAGCCACCTGCTGGGGGTGCAGCACGGACCTTGACCAACCCCCCCCCACCTCAGCTTCCCTGGCTGGGCGCAGCCCTTTGCCCGCTAGCGTGGGACGTGGGTCGAGACACGCGCGCGCACACACACACACACACACACACACACACACACAGCCTTCTCAGTGCGTTACTGTTCAGTCATGTGCACACTGGTAAGCACCCCGGACCCTGGTACTGCCAAGTGTTCCCACAACTGTTTTCCATCTAGGCGTGCTGCGTGGTAAACCCTTGCAAATGAAATTTCTTTCCCTGCCGGCCCTTCCACAGCACCTCCCAGGATCCCAGGATTCTGTCAACAGTGTTCTATTGTGTGTTCTTCACGTCATCATTGTCCTTCCACATGCCTTTAGATAGCACTGTGGAAACAGCCTTTGTTAGCTTTGCCACAGAGTATCTTTTGTGGACTGCTGCGTACATTTCTATAAATAAACATGTGGGTTCATACAAAACAGTATAAAAGATTAAATGTCACTATCCAAATAGAAGCCCTGGACCAAGCAGATGTAAGCTAAAATCATACACCTGATAGTGTACTTTGGGATAGGAATGAGTGTGATAACCTTCTACACCCATGGGAAGACGGCCCATAGGGTATATTCTTTATACACAGTTCTATGCACTCTGTTTCTTGTCTGATCTCCCTTAAATTGTTACAGACAACATCGATGGAAGGTAAAGAAGGTTGTAGGGAAGCGGGGTGGTGGTGGTGCACGCCTTTAATCCCAGCACTCGGGAGGCAGAGGCAGACAGATCTCTGTGAGTTCGAGGCCAGCCTGGTCTACAAGAGCTAGTTCCAGGACAGCCTCTAAATCTACAGAGAAACCCTGTTTCGAAAAAACAAAAAACAACAACAACAAAAGAAGGTTGTAGGGTCTTTCTGTGTGCCAAATTGGTGGCAAAGCTGTCCCTGACTTCTGTCTGGAGAGCTAGCATTACCCATGATATTTATCCACCAACATAAAGGAGCCGCATTTCGCCCCAGCTTGACAGGTCCAGACCTGGATGGATCTGGTTTGTCCACCTTGCTTCTGTGATAAATGCTGCATAAAGGACAAGAATAACAAAGCGTATTTGGCAACACAGCAGCATATGTAACCTTTGTAAGTCTTCATTTTAAGTTTCACCAGTACCAGTGTCTCAAAAAGAGCTGTCATAAAGCTTGTGCTCCAAGAACTGGCAATGCTGTTTAAATGGGTAGAGGAAGCAAGGTCAAGAATATATAAAGAAAAACAGAGAAGAGAGGCAGGCCCCTTCCTGAGGTGGTAGCTGTCCTCACTCTGCCTGGGCTTGCTCAACAGGAATGCAAAGCCTGTGCTGCTAGATTTTGATTCAGTTGTATGTTTGTTGTTCCTCGAGTGAAAAAGAAAAATCAGATCTCCAAGTGAAAATCCTTAGTCTTAAAGGTGAACAACAAATCCAGCCCAATATTTACATATTATACAAAACCAACCTCAAAATATGTCGGCCTAACTTCAGTCCCAAGCCACCAGATGAAAACGTCTGGCCAAATATTAACACCAATAATAGCTGTGACTTTGAGATTTCAGAAAAGGCCCTGTAAAACTCGAAGATCCTAAATGCTGAAAGTTGATGGCCAAGTTTGTATACTATTTGCTTGGGATTTCTTTTTAAGCTATATTTCCTGGTGGTTCCCGTAATGAATAGCCTTACATTAAAGAAAATCCCGAAGTTAGAGCTTCTACCATGCAAGCGTCTAAATACTGTTCTGAATATTTGTTTCCTAAATATCTAATAGATGGGTGCTGTGTCAGAACAATGCCAGACACCAGCGATGTGCAGAAGAGGGCAATGCCATGACCTTAAAGAATTTGCTGCTTAGTTCTGGGAATTTCGTAAGTACGGTTAGAAATTATGATAATAAACCTAGGAGGGCAAATTCTACAGTTACCAAAAGCTCAGGATGGTCTCCCGGAGTCCACTGCATACGAGCAGGATGACATGAGTCATTCCTGTCATTTTCCAATGGTTACCTAACACAAACAGCTTAAATTCTTCTGGACGTAGGCCCTTCCACTCTGACCTCATCTTTAGCTGCTTTGCTCCTTAACCACTGCTTTTTGGTGACAACTAAAAAGTTGAGCGACACACACATTTCTTTGTTTTCTGGGGTCTTTGGAGGAGCTAATCCCTTTTCCTGCAATTTTCTTTCCCTAAATCTTTTCATGGGCTCGCTTTGAACATTTCAATAGAGGCCTAAGTGTAGGTTCCCCAGAGAGGCTCTCCTGCACACTCACCACTCACCAAGGGCCAACTACATACTTGCACTACTAATGCACAGCTATAATGGGTAAAGGATAACTGTGTTAGAAATGTGTGTAAAGTGCTATTAAATGAACAAAAATATGAGACTTTTCCCTTCTAAGGTCTCCTTTGCACTGTTTTATTTGCAAATGAGCCTAATTTTCTATACCGTGAAATTTTTAGATCATTTCCATGAGTTTTTCTATTCATCTTCATATTGTACAGCGCCAGTTAATATATGTATACAAAAGAATTTAATACGTGTGAAATAAAATTATATGATTCCTATTTATAAATTCACACATGAATATACATTTCATTCATTCTTCAGTCAACAGTAGGAACATTACACAAAAAGAACTCAGAAACGTTAATATCACCTTGGGATGGGGGAGATCCAAGCCAGAGAACAAACCCAGGGTGTGATACTTGCTGTACAACTGTGCTCTCACGCTTGCCCTTCTTGGTACACAGTCAGTCTATTAACTCCTGCTCATGATGAACCAGCCTGCCTCCATCTTAGGCTGGAAAGCCATTTTATAGTAAAGACAAACTAGATTCATTCCTGTTTATGATTAAATCTGTTTCTCAAGGATTGGACTACACACCACCTATTACCTTAACTACAAATGGTTCTGAACTGCATGTTCGAGGAAACAGCAATCATGTCTTTGTTTTAAAAGTTGTTATAGTGACTTGCAGCCCTCTCTGTGTTTCAAAGGTTGTTACCTTATGACCACCTTGCAGTCAGGTCTTTGTTTCGGGAGGGGTTACGACCAAAACTGGTTATGTTTATGTCCTGCCCCTATAACCCCACTTATTTTGCCAGTCGAATCCCCCATTTGGAAACCCTGTACCCCTGAGCTATTAAAGCAATGACTTCTACAGTGTCCAAGGCTGATGATCTCTGGAAGCCCGCCTTGGGGGGAGGCAGCCTGTGAACATGAATAGAAAAGCTTGCGTTCATGGTTTGGCTGTGATGATTGGGTCGGCGGTCTTTCTCCTCAGATGTTTGGGATTAACATTTGTAGATAAGAGAGATGGGGGAGCCGGGGAGCAGGCTCAATGGTAAGGAGCTTGGATTGTTCTTAGAAAAAACTAAAGTTCTTTTCCCAGCACCCACACCAGGTGTCTCACGACTGCCTATAAATCCTGTTCCAGGAGACCTGGCACTCTTACCTCTAGGGGTCCTGCACTCAGAAGCACTCACACCCACCCCCATCCACATATACATATGGTAAAAATCAAAACTTTAAAAAGCAATAGACGGACCGTGAAGAAAACCTATCTTTCCCTGTCCTTTTGTTCAGCGTTTTCAGAGTCAGGACTTGGCTCCCTGAGGTTAAGAAAGAACAGGCTGGATTCTTTGGTGGCAGTTTTTGCTGCTGATTTGGAAAGCCACAGATGCCCCCTTTTTGCTTCCTCAACTGCAGACCCCTAAACCCCTTATTCTCCTTGACTATGAGTGTCACGGAACTAACTCTCCACAGGAGTTCTGGTACATCCAGAATTCTATGTTAGGGGGATGATGAATGCTAAGAATAAGGCCACAGGAAACGGAGGGCATGCATGTTGTGCGTGTAAGTTTTCACGCTATTTAGCAAAACACAGGACTATAATGATAAAATCAAAACTCACAAAACAGCTGGGCAGTGGTGGCGCATGCCTTTAATTCCAGCACTCCAGAGGCAGAGGCTGGTAGATCTCTGTGAGTTAGAGGTCAGTTTGGTCTACAAAGTAAATTCTGTAAATTCCAGAACAGTCAAACCAAAAAAAAAAAAAAAGCCAAGAAGCCCTTCTAAGGACAGGACTCTCTGCGACTGGACAGATCCCTTGCCTAGGGGAGTTGATGCTAAACCCCAGCATACCCAATGATTTTATTTCTTGTTTTTCTTGTTGACCCTTATCAACAGGTGACATTCTTTTGGTGTTTGTCATTGTCTTGTCCCCTTCACTTCTAATGTTAGTTTCAAGATAGTAGTGATTGTTTTTTTTTTTATTGTACTCATCCATCTTTCTGTGTACATTTCTATAGATCTTCACCTACAGATGAATGTGGAATGGTAAGTATCACTTAATATTAGCTGGATAATAATGTGACTTTGGGCAAGATATACAAGCCTTCTTAATCGCAGCTTCTTACGCTAGCTCTCTAGATCAGGTGCGTTCAGGGTGGTATGGCCGTAGACAGAGGCATGCTCTATAAAGGCACAACAGACTGACTGCTAGCTAATTTTATTATGAGCGTCGTTTCAAATACAGAACTTCAATTTATAAAGAACAAATTTATGCCTGGCGGTGGTGGTGCATGCCTTTAATCCCAGCACTCAGGAGGCCGAGGCAGATGGATCTCTGTGAATTCGTAGCCAGCCTAGTTTACAGAGCCAGTTCCAGGACAGGCTCCATAACTACTGAGAAACCTTGTCTTGGGGAAGAAAAAAAAATTTTTTTTTCCTCCAGTTCTAGAGGCTGAGATGTCCAAACGCAAGGTGCCATCCTTCGGGCGATTCTAGGAGCAGGTCAAGTCAGAGTAGATGCACCTGCCCAACGCGGAGAGCTCCTTCCAGTGCACCCTGTACAGACAGCCGCAGAGAAACCCCAGCGTGCACCGCAGCAGCCGCCTCACGAGATTTCTCGCTCTAGGCCATCTCCTCTGTTTTTCTGGTTTCCACATTCTAATCGCTCATTAAAAGTTATTCAACTCTTCCTTTTTGCTGCGAGCAAAAGGATTTTTTTTTTAAATTTCTCATTATAACTCCATATGCAAACAACTGGTTTTGAATGAACGTGTCTAGACAACTCTCTGCCCAGAAACACTTTGGGGGGAAAAATGTTTAACAAGCTAAAGTTTAATGCTACAACAACAGCCCCAGCGAACCTGCGGTCCCTAAATGATTCTGTTTATGTAATTTTTCCATAACAATGTGTACTGTGCTAAGTACTGACATGCATGACTTTATTTAATTTTCTCAGTGACTTTTAAAAGTACATGCAACTGTGTTATATGCACCTTATATATATATACAGGAAAAGAAAGTTTTCCAACAACTTTTATTTATAAAAATCTTATCTGTATTTCAGGTTCACCTGAAAACAAAACAAAAGCGACACTCAATTCCATCTTGGCTTATTCCACGCCTCCCCTGGACCACACCCAGGACTTTTTCTCTCTGCCAAATCTGCACTGTGCTTTACTTTTGTCTTTGTTGTGGTAATGATCGTTTTCTAACTCTTCAAGAGGTTAACAATTTATAAAGGGTAGAACTGTGAAGGATACCCAGGAGGGCAGCTGGTACTTACTGTTGAATAAGAAAATCAGTGGTTTCCAGCAGAAGGACATGGAAGGCTTTGATCTCAACACAGAACAAGTTTTCAGAGTAAATAAGCAGTTGCCTCCTGGTTATAGTTTTGAGAAGACTGCGTCCAGACCACAGTGTCTGCAAAGGGATTGTGCACACACTCAGGAGTGAGCGCTTGAGAGTCTGTCAACTAGCACATTTTCGAGACCAAAGCCATCTTAGATTCCAATTCACCTCCATTCATTTAACATTTACAGAGAGAACCGACGGCCATTGCCAGTCCCTGACTCCTCACCCAACACAGGCTCCGCACAATAAATTAGTGCTAGACGACACGAAATCAAAATTCAGGTAACACAATTCTTTGCCCAGGGCTCTTTGTTCCCCAATGCATTCCCTCCCCCCTTTTCTTTTGGGTTTAGAAAATCATAGCCTACATATGTTGTTTGCATTGTGAAGAATGTATGCTGAAATTTAAGAAAAAAAGCTAGAATAAAATTCTTGAAGTAGTAATTTATTTTATAGGAAGGCAATTTGTTAACGTGTTTTTGTTGCCTGTGTTTTGTGTTTTTGAGTCAAGGTCTGGGATAGACAGGCTTCAAAGGACCGATATAGGCAAAGGTCACCTCCAACTCCCTGGCCTCCAGCCTCCACCTCCCAATCGTGCTAACTTATTTTTAAGTGAGTCTTACCATCACTGAAAAATATTTAACCATATGCTGTATGCACAAGTTCTTATTTCTGTCTGTTTTTTAAATATTAATGGGGTGATTTCTTGTTAGGAAAAAAAATTGAGGTTTCCTTTTTTTCCCTTCGTTTTATCTATTTATATTGCTAAAAATTTGTAAATCACTTCTGCTAAAATCATTCTTCTAAGGGAAAAAATGGCAAGGAATTAAACATCTTTTAACTGAAAACAAAGAAACAGATAAAATTTGGATAATTTTTAAATTGAAAATTATACCTAAGATACCACATCTCAGGGAAATTCAAAGAACAAAAACCCCTCTAAGGCCTTTGGACTTTTGTTGAGTTTCCAGCATGTGTGTATTGCAGACAGCTTGATTACACCAAAGCACTGGCCCAGTTAATTGCATTCAAATGCAAATTATAGCTATTGAGTCATGCTGGCTTTGAGCCAAGTTCTTGAGAGAGGCACGCTTTTTTTTTCCCTCTTAGTAACTGTGCAGGACCAAACTTGACTGACAGTTGGCTATAGTCATTCATTACAACTTCGTTCTTTGTGAGTTTGGAAGGACAGGGGTTGTTTGTTGGAGGCAGGGGCTGGGGGGGGAGAGCAATAATATAGAATTGAATTAGTAAAAGATAATTATTTTATCTGTGTTTCAAGAGAAAATTTCCTTTACTTCTTATTCATGCATCAACACCATCGTTCCTTCCCCATTGTTTTGGTTTTCCTTCTCAACTTTCTCTTTTCTTATTGTCTCTTGAGAGAGCTGGCTGGCTTGGATTTACACTGCAGTATAGAATCATGGCTTTTATAGATGGTGCCTGTCCCCGAGTCATTCATCTTAAAAAAGCAATGGTTTTTAACTGAATTATTCTGTTTTGAGTACAAGCGCCAACGTAGAATGACTCTGCATCTGCACTAATAAATAATTCTATCAATGAGTATATCAAATTGCAGCAGGTACTGTAGGAGCCCATGTGTGACTCAGTTTTCATCTGAAGTCAATTCTGACTTAAAGAAATCATTTTGAGTTCAAGCTTGCCTACGCTGCCTGCATCCTTGAGGGTCACGAGAAAATTCTCATTAAGCCCATGGGAAATAGTCTGCCTTCTATATAAAAGCAAGTTCTGAAATAAATCTGGGGCTAGTTGTTATTCACCTTCAGCCCCCCCCCTCCATCTATCCTGTGTTTTCTGTCTCAATTTCTCTCAATCTGCCCTTTCCTTAACCTCACAACTCCTCTTAGGTACCCTGCTGATTTCTGCCCAGCAGCTCCTACAAGGTACCTAGAACCCATGATTTTATCAATCATAGTACAGATTTACCCCATTCATCTGGAACTATAAAAGGAGGAGGTCTGCAAGATAGAAGTGGAAGGCATTCTGACCTGTCACTCATCCAGGAAAACTGCCAAAGGGAAGGGCCTTTGCTTCTGTCCTGGGGGCTCAAGCACAGGAACACCACTCACGTCAAAGTGATCATGTAACTGCTTGTCACCTGGCCCTTCAGGTGACAACTACTTATCTGGCCTCCGCTTTCCTGTCACCTGTGTCAGCTGTCTACCTGCAATTCTAGTACAGCTCCCAGGGAGCCTCTTTAACCCCTTCTTGGCCTTTTGTATAGATACACCCATATGTAGGTGTAATGTGATAAAATTATTGGAAATGGTAATTAAGGTTACAATGGAATCAAAGCTGTTGAGTTGGGTTATACCTACTCTAAATTAATCCATAGTGAAAGAAAGAAGAAAGAAAGAAAGAAAGAAAGAAAGAAGGGAGGGAGGGAGGGAGGGAGGGATGGATGGATGGATGTAAGTAAGTAAGTAAGAAAGTAAGAAAGTAAGTAAGGAAGGAAGGAAGGAAGGAAGGAAGGAAGGAAGGAAGGAAGGAAGGGGAGGGAGTCAAGCAGGGAGAGAGAAAGAAAGGAAGAGAGAAAGAAAAGAGTGGCTTTCAGGCTGGGCCTTGAAACATCATTTTCATAAACACTGTTTTCCTGAATTTGAAGGAGAAGAATTGTGCATACTGGGATGGACTAGCAAACCACACTGTCTGACTGGCACCACCCAAGCAAGACTAAGTGAACCACTTGTCCCTTACAGTAGAAAGGAAGCTACCATATAAGCTATCAGGATGAAGTTAGACCGCAGGGGCACATGAGTGACTTTAAATCGCATCAGGGGGCCAGCCCAGAAACTCGAAGGAATGAGGAAGGGCCCCTATAAAGAGGTGACTTGGTCATCTGATACCCAGTGTGAGTCAAGGACCAACAGACAGAGAGTTCCCTGCCCTCCTTGAGACTTTTGCTCAGCTTGAACACCTCTCTGTTGACCCAGTATTTCCCCTAGCTGTCTGCTTATCCCAACCTTTTGGACCTGAAGCCCACAGCTTGAATGTGTGGTCTTCTACTGGGGTGATGCCAGCTTTACAGGGGTTATCTCTCACAATTCTGGCAGCTAAAAATTGCCAATGGCTCCACAGGCAGGATTAGGATTTCATGCCTGACTTCCCTCCTCATGTTAGGATTTGGCCTGGCTTGGGCTTGCACGGGCTTAGTGTCTGCTGCTGAAACTCCCACATACAATTTGCCCTACTGTGTCTAGAAAGCACCATTTACCTGCCGTCTCTCATCACACAATTTTACATCCTGTCTCACAAAGATCCCTGACCGTGGGAGGGGGTAAGGGGTGACATGTCCATGTTTCTTTTGTGGCTGAGAATTCTGCAGTCTCATCCTCTGTGCCTTGGTCAGCTGTGGATCCATCTTAATCATAATCTACTGTAAAGAGAGGCTTCTGAGATGACGATTGAAAGATGCATTGATCTATGGGTACAATGATGTCAGTAGGAGTCAAATTTAATACGATGTTCATTTAGCAAAGTAATAGTAACAGAGTCTACTTTGGGGCCTGTGATCTCTCTAGCCACAGGTTCTTGGTCTGATAGTGGTACCAGATATGGGTTTCCTCTGGCAGAGTAAGCTTAATCCAATCAGAAAGTGACTGACTCCTCCCGTGATGTTTGGACCACCACTGTACCTGTGGGTGAGACTTGCAGGGCCCATTACTATAGCTTTCAGGGTTCTCAGCAGAACACAATTGATGATTACTGCCCATCCCCGTAGTGTACATAGCACCACCCTCAACACTGTGAAAGCTAGCCAGTGGGGACAGAAATAAACCTCTAATTGGGTCATAATGTGTTTTAAAAAACGTATGTAGGCTTGGGAGAGAAAGAAAAAAGAGTATAGATTATCTAAAAAAAATCAAATGGTTTTAAGAAATAAAACAAAGTCTTTAAAGACATAGAGTACAGACAGTCATAGATTAAAGGAGTAAAGAAAAACAAGACACATAAAGAAGGAAAATACACGGAGAGTCTGGATTATGTATATTATTGTGTTTTCTTTGAATTTTTTAAAATATTTATTTATTTACTTATTATGTTTACAATATTCTTTCTGCATGTATGCCTGCAGGCCAGAAGAGGGCACCAGACCTCATTACAGATGGTTGTGAGCCACCATGTGGTTGCTGGGAATTGAACTCAGGACCTTTGGAAGAGCAGGCAATGCTCTTAACCACTGAGCCATCTCTCCATCCCCCTTTCTTTGAATTTTTCACTACAGAGAGATATTTGATTCTGGGGGCTGTTAAGCTAAACTTTAAATGAATCTTGACTACAAAATTTGGGTCTAATGATATATTGCTTTGGAAAAGAGGTTCTGCTTTTGTTTCCACTGAGGATGAGAACCTGTGGATTCCTTCTAGACTAATGTGCTCTGATGGACCAAGATTCCCCGGAAGGATTGCTGTGAACACCCCCACAGAAGTCAGAGAGGACTGTAGAGATGGCTCATTAAG